TGTAGCTGTCACTTCCTGTGCATCACAGACACAGGGTGAACTCTCAGCAGCTCTACTGATCAGACAGAGGTCAGGTTGACAACCAGTGAGTTTTCAGTAAAAAAGGGTATTTCTGCGGTGAGGGGTATTTCTTGACGTGTTTTCCACAGCACTACATGACAAAACCAAAAATGTTCAAGTTAAGTTAGTTATGACTATAGTTTCTACACAAGCACTGGCCTACTTTATATATGACTAATGCATGTAAACAGCTTTATGCTCATTTGAATTAATGTTTTTTCAATGAAGAACACGTGGGTGGGCAGAGAAACACCTGGAACAGAGAAATATTTGTAACATCTCAACAAGTTATTAGTCTAGAATCTACAATTCATCTGTTTGGATCGAACCCTAATATCAACCCCTAATAAAATGATTATTAAGTTATAGCTTGTTGAGTATTTGTACAACATTTGAATGTTTCATAATGTATTTCTGCACATGTCAACTATACAAATCAAAAGAACCAAAAAAAAATAGGGAAATCCGGTATTTTCCCAAAGAATCGATTCTTTTCTGAAGATGGAGAAAAGTTTAATTGATCGATTCCATTCAGATAAATGTAAAATGTGTTCTACAACGCGACACCGCGAAAAGTGATATTTGTCTTTCTGTTGGTCTCCACATTTAGGAATCAGTTCATGAGGCGAACCTCACAGTCCTTCGTGCAGCCTGGGGTTTTAAAAAATCTGAATCAAATATACACAACTTGCAGAACAAATGCATGACACACTGCACGTTTCGCTTTCTGTCGGCTAGGATTGGATGAGGGAATTAAAAAAAACATGGTTGCATGATTTTAAAGGGGGTTGAACTGTGGCTGGGTGGACTCACCGTGTGTGCGCGATGTGGCGGAGAGAGTGGAGCTGTGGACACAAAATGGAGAGCGGGGCGGGGTGAGGGGAGGAGGAGACACACACACACACTCACACACACACACGCACACACACACACACACACTCCTCTGTGAGAGGAAACACATGTGGACTCATCGTCTCCCTCTTCTTCTGCTCCAGATAGAATAGAATGCCTTTATTGTCACTATACACATGCACACTGAGATTTAAAAACCACTCCAATAACAGTGCAACCAGTGTAAAGATATTCTAATATAAACATATGACATAAAGTAAGGTAACAGTGCAAAAAGGAGGTAAGGTGCATGGTCTTGAGGAATATGTACATTTACAGATAAATCCAGTGTTTCAGACATGGATCACTTTTATAACTAGTTTGTATTTGTGTGCGATGTCTATTTGTAAAACATCACTGAACGCCTAGAAATCTGTATTAACTTTCTTTAATATACTGTAATGTAATATAATTTAGAATCCCTCAAGATCAACTTACAAGGCTGAGACACAATCAGAAAAAACAATTTATCACAAATATCAACGAAACAAACCGTGAATAAAACATTTGAACTGGAGATTCAACGTTTCAGTGTCCACGTGTTCCCCCTCAGAATAACCGAGTTGTTGGATTCTGATGGCTGAAGCTGTTTTTAACTTGTGTTGTCATCAATAATATAGATTGACGCTTCACATTCAAGTCTCCTGCTGTTACTTCAACTAGGTCCCTCAGTCCGGGCCTTTACCGCCACCCAGCGGCCGAGGCGGGGCACTACAGCCGGGCCTGCTGTGGGCAGGGAGCGGGGCCTTCAGTGTGGAGGAGGCCCGAGCGTTCACGTTTATTCCTCTTTGTTCTTTATTCCGTTGGTTTTTAATTAAAATGCAACGAGACACGAGCACAACAAACATGTGAATTTATTCTGATTTAATAATCATCCGTGTGTTGGATTTCTATGCGCTGTTGAGAAATAAAGCGCAATCTTGCTTTGGGAAAAAATTCGATTTTCCGGGTGACATGGGCATCGAACGCGCGAATGATTTTTTCTCGGTAACGGGCGTCTGCAGAGATCAAAGGCTCCGAGCGGCGGCGAGAGGACACGAGTTGGCTGTGATGCGCGCCGCGGCGTCGCGCGGGGGGACACTTCAAAGGCGACAGGGGACACCGGAAAAGGCGCGCGATTCCGTATAAGAAACGAATTAGATTGCGCGTTCCCGTCACATGCACGCCGGTTAGATAGAACACAGCCTGTTGGTTAGAGCTGGATTCAATTAAGGACTTCAGGCTGACACACAGGAAACGAAACTGTTTATCATTTATTATTCTTATTGTAATTATCATTGTTGTTATTATTATAAAATCCTCCTTCACACACGTGGACACTTGAACTTCCCGAGGTAAATAACGGAGTCACTGTACTTTGAACATAGTGTTCACTTACAAACTATTGCACGATCCTCTGCAGCTTTTTTTTTTAAATTCTTTACATTGAAGTTGGTTTGCTCTCTTTCAGTTTTTTATACTTGCACAAATACACCACAGAAAATTCCTTGTATGTGTAAACCTGCCTGGCAATAAAACTCGATTCTGATACTTTATGTGTATATATATATATATATATATATATATATATATAAATATATACATAGTTAGATACTTTTTTATATTTAATAGCATATTGTATACTATTTTGAATATATATATATATTTAGTATATAACTATATAAGTATCCTTGAAAAGATACTGACACCCCAATTGCCCCTTCTTCTAAAAGTACTGCAAATAGAAGTACTGTGTGAATGGGTGTATGTAATACCGTGAAGTGTCATCAAGACTAGTAAAGTCCCATATAAATACAAACCATTTATATATGAATATATATATATATATATTTATTTACATATACGTTTATTTCAATATCTTATACATAATGCACAAATAGAGTATACATCCTTGTGCAATCATCCTCTGTCACTGTACTTTACTCAACCACATTTCTCGACAAGTATTTTGATCCATAATGAATATTATGCACATGTTCTCTGTAATTTAATTTATTCTTTTATTTTCTATTTTACTGCCTATTTTATTCTTTTTTTTAAACTTTTGTGTTCTCTTGTCTGCCTATCTGCTGCTGTACGAGTGGGTTTTCAATCTTATCTTATCTTCTTATTATTATTATTTTAGCTCAATATTAATAAGGCAAAGATATTTCTTTGAACTATCTTGTGTCTTTAAGGTTTTGCATCCAAACACAATAGGACAGGAGTGTAGCCTTGAACTAAGAGCCTTTACATTCAGCCCTACACTGAATTCTCTATATTTTTTGTGGATCTATAAGAACTGTTATAAATTTATATGATGTCATCAGTTCCCAGCAGGTAGAACAAACTAAATCCCACCCAGAAACCAACTCACCAACCACTCCTTCATTCTGGAATAGTATTACCTGAGTTGTGTTCTCTGCATTGTCACATGATTTGAAAGAAGTTACTTCATTTGGAATAATATGCAACATGTGGGAGTTTAGTATAAGAATAAGTTAGTATAAGAATAATAAGCATAAGTTGGGGGGAAATTCACACAACTTTCTGACACAGGACTCTTTCATAAGACATGAACATAATCTGTTTGATTGTTGAATTCAATTCTTAAATGTATTATATTTATAACGAATCAATACACCATAACCTGCGTGGTGTGGCTTGCATGTTTACACCTTGCAGACTGACATGACACTAAGGTTGAAATACACGGTGCCAAAACGTTCTGCTTCCTCCGTGCTATTTGAGAATGAGTTACGTGCACATTTAGATTCTTCTGCTTTAGGAGAACTTTCTCTGGAATAAAATACAATTAACAATATTTGCATGTTGATAGATTCTGCATTATTCAAGGTTAAGTGTTAAATTATTGAATTTTGATTATTAAATCATGTCTGGAAAAAACTGGGAGAGAAAATGTTCATGCACAGATGTGTTCGGTGTCATCTGGAAGATGCCTCGTCCATCAGGATGGCATTGTGCAGGATTTATTTTGCACATTACTATTAATTACTATTAACACTACTATAAAGAATCCATGAAGGTGTTCAAATGGTAACATTCTCTGGCTACATTTACAAATCATTCATATGTTTGTCTCAGCTGTCTCTCTGTGGTTTAATAACATAAAGGATTATTTGATATTCTTTATTTATTTGATCTGAAGGTAAACCGAGTGGAAGACAAATCAGTTTTCAAACATTCCAGTTTAAAACTGAAAAGGACACGTTTAGGTTGTCTGGTTCACTTACCTGTGTTGTTCTGGAGCTTTTGACCTGTCACACAGTCTTCAGTAGCAGATGACGTGTGCACCGTCATGGAAACTCTAAAACCTCTCTGGGAGCAGTCGTCAAGCTCAGGGAAATGAATCAATAATGAATTAGTCTCTCCCAAGGTACGTACACGTGGAGACACAATTGAGTACTTAAATGCCCAGCAGCAACAATCCAAACACAGAGAACTGCTACCGATGCCTTGGCCTCCAGAATATCAAGCAAAGTTCTAAGGTCATAAATTTGTGCGAGAAGGGGAACGGGCCCAGAGAGCGCCTCCTTCTCTGAGGGGTCGGTTGGAGCAAGCAAGAGACTGGGGAATGCTGGAGGATGGTACGATCACAAATTGTCAGCACAGCCCTGAAACCAGAACCTCCAATTTGGTCTTGGCGGAGGAATGTGTCATACTAGATGACCTGATGGTTCCTGAGGCATGGCTCTTTTCCCCTGATGAAGTGAAGCGATTTGATTCATCACATTGTGTCTGTAATTCTTCAGAGAAGTAGCAACTCTCAATACTCAATCATTTCTTTTAAAGAATACAAACAGAATATTTAGCATTTTTTGACTCTTGGTCTAATAAAAGGAGACGATCAAGAACGGATCACTCACCACTTTCTGTCAGGATGTGGACTAAACAATAAATGCAGATAATAATCGACCAATTTATGAATAGTGAAAACAATAATTAGTTGCAGCCCTTATGCGACTGTAAGTTGAGGACAAGCAGCACTGGTGGTGATAATGATAAAACATTTTATTTGTATAGCACTTTTCTAAATACTCAAAGACACTTTACAAGGAGAGAGAAAAGCAACGATGAAAACATGTCATGAATAAAAATAGAAACAACTTTTAAAAGAGAAAATACAATGTCAGTAGAATTGTGGGTATTTCAATGAGCACCGTGTTAGCAAGAAAACCTAACATAACTACCTATGGGATCCATGTTTAAACTGTTATTCATCAAAACAACTGTTTACAAAACACTTTAGGGTGAATTTGGATTCATCCTGCCAACGACGACTGGCTGCTTATTGAAACACCCGGCAGGTAGGTGTTAACTAAATCCATACCAGGAACAGTGAGATGCAGGCATGACGTTCTCTACAAGAAAAGCAACACTGGAGGACGTGTCGGAGCAGGGGTGAGGGTGAGGCTGGGGTGGGAGTGATGTCCAGAGCTGAGAACATTCTGTCCATTGGCCACTGTAGCTTCCACATACATCCATGGGACGGAAACAAACCAGGCACCGGTTCTGCTGCCGAGTCACCTGCAGGGTTAGCGCGGTAGCCGGTGTTACTGGTTACACAGTGTTCAGGCACTATACGGAATTAGCTCAGTGGCCATAACGGTTTAATTTTTATTAGAAATAAAACCTGCTTGGTTCATTTTTCAACGCTGCAGTTATAAGGTGAAAGTGTCAGCTCCGTAGAGCGTGACTCACAGCCCGACGGGTAGACGGGTATGTTGTCCCGTCAGGTTCAGGTCGCGTCGTCTCGCTCTACAGAAGAGTCACAGCACAGGGAAACGGGTTGTAAGGATTGGGCGTTAAAAGATAAAGACGTTGGATGTTTTAATGTGATGTGGACTGTCAGTCTGGATAATGTAACACTGCACACATCTTCACGTGCGAGCAGAAGAGTGAGGCTGCCTGCAGAGAAATCTACCGTTACAGATCTCGCTCCATAAATGCCGTGCACACACCGAGCAAACACGCATGTTTTCTTGTTAAATGTCCAGTGTAACCAGTAACGCCAGTTTTTTCACGAGTTTATTACCCCATGGGAGAGATTTCCACAGTGACTTCCCTACCGACGATCATGTAAGAAAGTTGCCATGAGGGGTGGATGTAAGGCAATGTTACACACAGCTCCAGACAGAGGGAGGCGATGAGTGGCAGAGACAGTAACAGTAATAATTAAACAGCACTTGTCTTCAAGTGCTTTAAAGTGAAAGGAACACATGTCAACGGTGAGTTTGGAACAAAAAAGGATGGAGACCTGTACTTTTATCTTCTAGATTTGATTCCCAGCCAACAGTCAGTAAAACTACAGTAACAACGTGCCACCACTCAAATGCACGTTTAGGAAAAGAGAACTTTCAGTTGTGTGTTGAAAGAAGGTCACCGCACCACGCTGTCCTTATTCTGCGGCTGCGTAGTTAACACGTCCTTTTCCGACAGCGGGGCTTCAGTTCCCTTCTCGACACAGAGAAGCCCAACTGCACAAATTGTACTTTTCCCAAAATGCTTTGCTGAACAATAGTTGTGGTCCTCCCTGTTGCCTGGTGCTCAGAGATGAGAGGTGTGGGTGCTGTAACGTCAAACAGAACGGAAACGACTTCTTGAAATAGTCATGACACCTCCTAACGCACAATATACACAAAGTTCATTCTGGAGCATGTTGAAGGGGTACGTTTAAAAAAAAGTTTGTTTCCCCCTTTCCCTTTACTTTCCAGAAGCCTCCTTTAGCAAAAAGTTGGGTTTTATGTTCGGAAACATATCAAACTGAATGGAGAACTTTGTCACATTTACTTTGACGACTTCAGGGTTCAGGGCTTGGAACACACTCTTGATAAAAAATAGCCTCTTGTTTCTTTTAACATATGGATAAGGAGAGTGGGGGGTGAGGAGAGACACTATTCATAATGGGGAGGATAGATATTTTCATAACTAGAGTGGGGGAGGAGGATAAATTCTCGGTGAGAGGACAGATTAGGGGACATTTTAACTTATATCCAGTACATGGCATAGATCATACATGAGGGTCAAGGCAACACATTTTAACCTAACTACTTGGTAATCAATCTTAACTAGTTCTCAATAGTGCCCGTCCCTGATCCCAAACATAACGTTCCAAAGGAGGGGTGAGGTGGAGGAGGGGGCGCCTCTGGAGTCCTCCGTCCTTGATGCTGGATCCGAAATGGGTGGGGACGAAGAGGGGGTGGCGACAGATGCAAAGTGAAGGGGATGGGTGGGGATGGAGGTCTCATTGATTGTAGAGGGAGCGCTGCTCCCAGGGCATGGCCTGGATGGTGCGTGGCACGGGGGAAGGCTTGAGTGTGGGCGCTCCGTTCGGATGAAGGGAGTGGCCAATGGGGTTGATGGTGGTGAGGGGCCGCTGGGGGGCCAGAGAGAAAGTGTCCTGGTGCTTCGGCTGTCGGAGAGGGAGGTGGGGGAGGGAGGGAAGGGAGGAAGGAAAGAAAAAAAAAGGAAAACTGTCAGTGGAGTGTTTTCTTTAGATTAAATAAAATAAACCAACCTAGTGAAGTTTGGATGAATGAGGTTAAGATGAATTCTGAAAAACTTGCAAAACCAAATGGTCAGGATTGAAATCTCTGTGTGAACGTGTCTGTACATTCACACAGGAGTAAATGAAGGAAGATGATTTCATGTTGGACAGGTCATCAAGCAAATCTGAAGGTGAGCTGGCACAATAACGTCTACGACTGTTCACTTACTTAAAAAAAGGATGATACTATCATTTGATAGATTAATATGCAATAACATCCAAATGGAGTCCTGCTCTACAAAACAATGGTATGACTGTTAATGTGCATTGCACAAATGAAAAGATATGAACATTTACAGCTTAGCAGGAGGCTACAGGGCATACTGAGGATTATTTAAGAACTATTAGCTCATCAGCTTTGACAGCTGGATATGTAATCATAGTATCTTTGTTTGAACTATGTGATCGGTGTCTTTCTGACAGAACTGCCAACATTTACATAGACCTACATTACTTTGCTGTTGGTCAGATAGGATTGGACTTGAACTGTGAACACTATGAAAATATTTTTATCAGGTCCAGACTTGGATTTGACAGATTCCTAAAACAAAATGACTCATATCTAAATTAAGGATTAAACATTGATAAAATAACATCACAATCCTGTTTACCTTAGAGATAACTCAACGTCACCAATCGACTTTTACTTACACTTACAAAAAACATCTGTAGAACACAATTCTCAAAGTAACAATGATGCATGTGTGAGTGTTAAACCAAAGAAGACAGTGCGAGTGACAGTAAAATGCCATGACGTGTGAAACATGAGCAGCCTCAAACACAACATCAAGATGTGCAACACAAGCTGAGTGAATGATTAGTGTGGAAGAGTGAAAGAAAGAGCTACGCTAACAGCACAGCCCCCGGTTAGTAGAGTTAGAGAGCTTCCTACCGCCAGAGTCCATCAGCAGTTTAGGGCCCAACCTGAGGAATGACCTCATCAAGTGGATTTTAGTCTGCTGGTTTTATTTTCTAGCCAATCAGAGAAATGTTGGAGACGACGTTCAAGCTCTATCCTCTGACTTCTTGTCCTTCATTCTACACTTTTTGAGTCTAACAGCGTTTTCTCACCTGAACGTTCAGACCAAGGTTTGAACCAAGCTGTATGTCTGTTACATTGTTTACACCTGATCCAGTTAATTGGGTTCACTTTGTAATCTAGGTTTGTGTGACATCCATACGTCCTGTTGTCTCCACCAACATGGACAGAGACTACCTGTCCCTGATTAGTTAGTTGAGGGGAATGTGTCTGACGTCAGTGTGCTGACCAATCAGTGGGTAGTTCTCTTTCCATTTAAATAGAGAAAGTGAATGAACTGGTTCCATTAGTCAATTTAAAGGGCCACTATAATATCACTATGGTATTACTACCAGCATCACTAACCAACAGGCGCAGTGCTCCACTAGTTTGAATGCACCAAATGAACATCTGCGATTGTCTGAGGCAAACACTGCAGCAATCCCATGAGCTGCTCCCGCTACTTTTTCTGCTTCCATTGTCTCAACTCCCTGCTATGTGTCCCAAAGTCCAGACTAGGCTTGCAACTAATGATTGTTATGTAATCGATTGAGCTGTCGATTATTTTTTTCCGATTATTGATTATCGATTATTAAACAGATAAAAAGCCAAAAGCTACATTTGACCCTTTCCCACAGTTTATTGGAAAAGCAATTTCATCTTCTTAAACAATGCTGGTTCTATAAGCATTTTAAACATCTGCAACTTAATTATGATCATTCAACTTCATGATAAGAATTAAAGATTAACTGGAATTAAAGATTAAATATAATACAGTGTAATATTTCTACTGAATTGTAGATGTCTATTATGAGCAATCGGTTTGAATCTTACAAATGTGGAACTTTTTGAGACGTTAAAACAGAATTAATGATTGTTTTGACAAGTCAGAATGATATTATATATATTTTATAGGAAAATGATAACTAGTCACAGTAAAAGTCAAAATGACATGGTTAATGTTAATATTGTGAACAATCCTTGTATCCATTCTAAGAAACGTTTACGACGGAGAGGAGACGGCTTCGTCGCTAGAGCTAAACAAGGCATGGGAATGGCTGGTTTACTGCCCCCACCTCAAGAGACGCTGTCACACACACAGCATTATAACAGGCCAGACTAATCGATTAGTAAATAAGTTGCAAACTATATTAATAATTGATTTAATCATTTAGTTGTTCCAGACACTTGACCTTTGTCTAGTAAATGCGTAGAAATAAAAGCAACAGACCAAAAACCGAGATTTAGGACTGTGTCCACCAGGCCTCTCTACTCTTTTTTAAGCGGAAAGTTGGGCTGAAGGACAGAGTCCAAGTGGCCACAGACAGCACTGAAACATTAGTCCCTCTCTCTCCTGATGTTAGTAGGCAGACAGGGAGAAGGCAGCTAGCCAGCAGACAGTGGATGGCGGGTGTGTGGCGGTTCTCTCTCCTACCATAGGGTTGGCGCTCAGCCTAGTGTATCCCAAGCTCATCTCCTTTACCTCAGGCACCAGGGGCTGGAGCAGGGAGTAGGAGGAGGATGGGGCGGCGCTAGAGGAGGAGACGTGTTTGTTGGAGGACGAGCTCCTCATGCTCTGCTGGCTGCTCTGGGAGGACACTGAACTGGGACGGCCCTGCTGGGAACACACAGATCAACACACCCTCTTAAAGCGACGGCAAATATCACATAACTGGTAATGATTGCTCAGTGTTGGTGCAGCCCACGTGAACCGATTTCTCCTCCCTACCTGGTGGGGGTCAGGTACGGACTGGCTGGCCACATTGCCGCCTTGCCCGCCCTGAGACATTGGTGACACGCAGTGGGAGGGAAGAGGTTCCTGTCGACCGTGTCCTCCATGTTGCTGTTGCATCATGGAGTTAGCGTTGTTCTGCCGCTGCTGCTGACGGCGAGGAGTGGTGGAGAAATTGGACCGGCGACTGCCAGACTGGATGGAGGGACAGGGTGAAGAATGAAAGAGAGGGATGTTAAAAAAAATATATAAAAATACAATTTCAGTTTTGCACACAGCTTTGTGCAACATTCAGAGCAGAAATACAGAAACATCTGAGGAGGAGGACGTGACAGATGAATGTGATGACCTGTTGTTTTCCTCCACAACACATCAGATCCTTCAATCTTCTGGTTTTGTTCAGAGTCAATGTCTGAAGTTCCTGTTTCAGTTGTGCTTTAGTCTCATTATCACTACCCTCACTTTCTTCAAACCTATTAATATGACGGGATGGAGTGATCAAATTGTACACGCATACACACACAAATACACTCACAAATATTTACCAAATGACCACATCTAGAAACCAAAGCTTCTTCTGTAACCATGACAACTACAGAAGATGCTTGCCCTGTCTACCTGTCCCTATCTAACAGAGTTTAACCTAACCTTCTATTATCTATTTTTTCTCTACAACTTTGGTCCTAGTTCAGACCATCATTCATGTCGGGGTTGCTAAGATTTTACTGACGAGGAGCCCCGCAAGACCCCGTAAGACAATGGGAGATATTAAGTGAAATGAGAGGAACACTGGCTTGGAAGTGAAAATAAAACATTATGTCTTCAAGTTGAAGTAGGAAGTCCTTTTACCACTCATTAAACCACCAACGAGACATTTTTAACTGTGAATCTCGTCACCCATTGTATACACTGGACTTTATTACTTTCAGTATTAAAGGAAGGATTGTGAACATGACCTCTCATGTGTGGTTTCATTTTCACTTCCTAAACGAGTAGATTTAATAAAAAGGATGTGTTCAGAGTGTATTCATGACCTTGGGACAAAGGACTTAAAGCTGTGCCTACTGGTCAGGGGTCACCTCACCCACCGAGGGGTGAGCTGTCAATCCACCACCCCATTACTGAGATTCACTGAAAAATCGCTTTTTTATTTTTTAGATTACAGATTAAATTTTAGATTCTAGAATGTTATTTATTATATAATCTAAACTGGGGAAGTGTAATAACAACTAAGGGCCAGTTAGCCTGTTAGGATCAGCAAGTGACCTGGAGAGCTAACTGTTGCTATCCGCCCCATTGTTGACCAGAAGCTTGAAACTCTCAGCACTTACATGAACACTTCCTGCATGAGACGAGGGGGTGTTTTAAAATAAAAGCTCCAATGTTTGATTCATTTGATTTCTGATTTATTAGAACAAATCTTTATTTTAATTTATTATGACAATGCTTAACTTTATTACATTTTACTTGACCTATGACCTTCTGATATCAGTCAGTTTTTTGTAACCAAAACTTAAAGAGCAGGTTAAGGGATTTATAACAAAGATGCTGCTCTAATAAAACGCAGACTGACATCTGATAATCTGATATGTGTTTGGAAATATGATTCATGATGTACTGTGCAATATCTTGAAATGTAATATTTGACCTTTCCTTATAACTTCTAAAATCCAATTACAACACATGTCAATAAGTGTGATATCAGGAGATAAGCACAGGTATAGCAGGGAGGATTGTTGCTATTGTAGCTTTCATCCTGGTGGTCAAAACACTTTTAGGGATGTAGAATTTTCCTAATTCTGATGAGTTTTAATTACTTCATAATTTATGTGCATGGAATTTTAGATGTAATGGTCGGACAACAGTGATCAGTCACGATCGCCTGTGTTTGTTTTGATGTTGGATCAGGCTGCCACCACTGTAGTGACGCTGAAACAAAAAGAACAAATTTCGGAGTAGAATTTGTCATAATGATTTCATGTTGCACAGCCATGTTGTTAAAGAGCTTTGTTAACAGTTACATCAGAGGCAAGTGCAATCAACTGTTCACCAGTTAATAGAATTTTTTATGTGACCACCACATCCAAAACTTGCAGAAGTTGACCCTTCCTCACTGCTAAACTCCAATCCACTGACTCTGCCTCACACAAAACACGCACGACACACACACACACGCTCGCTCGCTCGCTCATGCTCACACCAACCTGGTTTTTGGCCGCGGCGCTGCAGCGGTGCTGGGCCAGGTCCAGCATGGATCGGTAGCTCTTAAAGCAGGACGGGCAGTTGAACCGGTTCTTATGAACCAACCCCACGCACACACAGACACAAGCGCACGCACACACACAGACACACGCACACATAATTGGATTACTTGATTGATCCTTTGCCTACACTAGCCTAACCCTGGTCTAACTCTGAAACACGCTCTGCCAAGCAGGCTGCTTGTGAAAAACTGTAGCTGGAGAAAGGACAGTGTGCAGAAAAATTGGCTACAACATTTCACATGCACATTTCATCAAAGGAAATACTGCCAAATACACGTCGCCATACATGCATATGCACGCACACTTGGACCACATCAAGGTTACCACAGAAGTAATTTCAACTTGAATTCACTTTTAAAACATAAAGTTTAAAAAAAAAATGTAAGTATGTTTTTAAGTCACGTTGAAGGTTTTGCAATGTTTATTCTCTACACAACAAGCACTGCTGAAGGTCATTGTAAATGTATCTGTGTGCACTCTCCGAGCACTTTATTAGGAACATCTGTTCAAACAGGCTTATTTGTGTTATCAGACAATCCTGTAGCAGCCTCGCACTGCTGGTTGAAAAATGTGCCTCTTAGTGACTGAGATCATGGCGTGTTTGTCGGTGCCAGACGGGGCTGTTTATAAGTTTCTCAAACTGCTGATCTCCAGGTATTTTCACACACAACAGTCTCCAGAGTTTTCACTCAGAGTGGAGCCAAAACCAAGAAAAGAGCAGCATCTCTGTGGATGGAGGCGCTGTGTAGTTGAGGTCAGAGGAGAGGACCAGACTGGATTTAGGTACGGTAACTCAAGCACAGAACAAAACTACAGTAGACGCTTTGCAATAGACAACACACTCCCAAGACCATCACATCCGTTAAGTGAAGTCTTAATGCATTACCTGCATGTGTTTGACTAGGACTTGCATTACAACAATGCATTTAGTACTTGCTCTCATTTTTCATTAAGTTAATCGAGAACCAGAAAGCCACCTCGGACACACATGACTACAGTTTCATAGTGATGAATTTCTTTCAATCTTATAATAACAGATCACTAAGTTGGTGTTAAAGGGATAGTTCATCCAAAAATCTAAATTCACTCATTATCTACTCGCCACTATACCGATGGGGGGGTGGGTGAAGTGTTTGAGTCCACAAAACAATTCTGGAGTGTCAGGGGTAAACTTTGTTAGAGCAGAATCCAATACAACTGAAGTCAATGGCGAGTCCTTCTTCAGACATAATAAAACCACAGGAAAATCATAAAATGCCTGCATACTGCTCGTGTGGTGTCATCCAAGTGTCGGCAAGCCCCGACATTCATGTTCCACTCGAAACGAGGTCATTTACACTTTGTTATAACCCTTAAGGTCTGCTGACGTCTTCCTATGAGGTGCGTTCAGGGACCGTCGGATATGCCAAGTCTGCTAGTTAAGCCACTTAAATAAAATTTAAACTTTATAGGCTTACAACAGTGTAAATGACCTTGTTTTGAGTTGAATTTGAATGTCGTGGCTTGTGGAAACAACACAAGCAGTTTGGAGGCATGTTGTGTTTTCTCCTGTTGTTTTATTATGTCTGAAGATAAGTCACTGATGTCCTCAATTGTATAGGTTTCGGCTGCAACACTGTTTACCCCTGAAACTCCAAAAGTGTTTTGAGGACTCAAACACTTCACCCCCCCCTTCCCCATCGGCATAGTGGTGAGTAGATAATGAGTGAATTTTCATTCTGGGTAAATTATCCCTTTAAGCTCAGTTGCAGCACTGTATAGCTAGGCAGTAGTAGCGCATCAAAGATAATTATTTCTCTACAGCATTCATTTTTTTATGTTTGCTCTCTAAAAAAGACTATTACTGTTATTACAAGTGTACTGTTATTTACAAAAAAAGACTGTCAATTCAAACATCAGACAACAGTAAGTCTATGACAGTGGTCAGTGCTCTCCACATCGATTTCAGTTTGGACTTGTGTGCTGCATCTTAAGCCTTTATCAGAGTGGCCCTGCCTGGCCCCCCTGGGCAGCATCGAGGCGCATTACTCCGCCTGTCAACAAGAGATTCTGATCCTCTGTTCTTTTCAAAACACTCACACTTAGAGCCAAATTCATATTTTTGTTCTGTTGCTGTTCTGTTCCTGGTGTTTATTGTTAAAGGTCAGGTGCAGGTCAGTGGGACAGTGGAGGAAGGACACTCAGGAGGAGACTTTGACACGGCCACGACAAGACCTCTAATGTGCGTCTGTCCTGATCTTGAAGCAGGGAAGGTTGTAACTGTTTAGCGGCGGGACAGCAATAAAGAAATGAATGTAAAGGAAAACATGAATCAATTATGTTCACGTCCGCATTGCGATGCTTCGAAGAAACGATGAATATTCAGATCACTGACAGGGTTTTCTGGCAATGAATCATTGTTGGAAGAAGAGAATAGAGAGAGAAAAAGAAGTGAGAGAGGCTCCGTCAAATCTTGCTCCGCCTCCTCCCGACTAAATCGATCACTTTGTCCAGAGTCAGATTCATCACTATGAGCGGATGATTAATTGAAAGGATTGAGGGGAAAGTAACGCGCACACCCACACACACTGACTATGCTCCTCTCTCCATCTGTCTCTCTCTCTTTCAGACTCAGCTGACATCTCTGACTCGCTACAGTTTAAAAGTTGATTTGTTTCTCGCCACATCAACATTGATCATCACATAATGATCGATGCTTTTCTTAATAAATTAGTCTCTCTTCAGAGCAGCGCACGCATTTATCAGCCATCCCGCTCGCTTATACTCTCTCTCTCTTACTTAACATGGTCCAAACATGGACTGTTTATGATTAATAATCGCAAGTTATATCGTCATCACAATATTCAACAAGGTTATCGCATGTTTTCCCAATATCAAGCAGCCCTAGTGGTATTCATAGTGGATTATTCTGGATCTAGGATATATCATTTT